GTTCTTTGGCTCCATTTGCCTCCTGAATGAGACCTTCTCCCACAGTCTTGGTCTTTGCATCTGTAAGCCAGGCTAATAATGATGTCCCCCAAATACTTAGCACACAGCTAGGGAGAGAGGTGCTCAGTTATGAAAGTCACTTTCTCCTCCTCAGCTTGAAGACCAGGGCCAGGTTGTCCCCTCAGGCTGCAGCTAGCAAGGCTATGTGATAAGATGATCCAACATACGCCCCTCTGGGGGGGCTAAGCAGACATCAGTGAGTTCCTAGGCTGGGGCTCCCCTGACTCCACTCAGCCTCTGTGCCCACCGTCAGGCAAAGAAGAGGAAAGGCAGCTCACCATGGCCAACCTGAGAGTATTCCCCACCGCCCAGACACCCAGGTCTCTTGACCCTTGACCTCTGCCCTCTGCCCCTCTTGATTCTTAGTGTCCAGAATCTGGTGTCTATCTCTTCTGAATATGCTTGTCTGCTTCATTTCCTTCTGTCTAGTAAGGCTGTTGCTCATGAGGTGGTCTGGGTGACCAAGGCTGCAAGGGCTCAGTGCCCCTGTGTTCTGGACTCAATTGCAAAGGTCAAAGTTCACCTAACAGTGTGGGTTCCCCAAACCAGTAGTCTAACAGGAGCATTGGGGAGGAATTTCCCTTGAAACTGAGCTGTGCCTCACTGCCCCCTCCCAGTGACAAGCTCCCATGGACCTTGCTGCAGAGGGAGGCTGATAGGGGGACCACAAGGCTTAACACACAGCAGTTGGGTGCCTGAGGCTTGCTCATCACATAAAAAGATGAATGCAACTCTGCTGTCCCACAGCAATGGTGTCTGTGAAGGGAAGGCATAACCATCAATCACCCTGCAGAGTGCTGTTGCCAGGCCTCAATTCCTGTGTTCAGAACAGACCTAAAGAGAGAGAGAGCAGAGCCAGGCAACAGGGGACACAGTGCCCAGACAGAGGTCACAGGGCGAGGACAACATCTCAAGCTTTTGTCCAAAAGGCAGATGATACTATCTTTTCATGACACATTCAGGCTTGTTGGGCTTCTGGCCAGGGTACAAGCAGCTCTCAGCCTTCTCCACAGGCCTGGCAGACTCACTCACTGCCTTGACCCCTTCTGGTGAAAGAGAGATTTGACACTAGGACAGCAGGATGATGACAACGGCCCCAGGCAGGGCTGACACCTGGAGTTCTCATCTCTGGGGACAGGTAAGGTGAGTGTAGATCATTGCTAACCTCCCCCAGGGTCTCCACTCAGGTTTGCTGAGACCTGGTTGGGGCTGGGGCTGGAAGCTGAAACCATCCTGGCCCTCAGGATATCCAGACCTACTGATGTCGCCTATTTGAAGGCAGAGTCAGACCATGCCCAAAGCCTGGAATAGCCAATGCACAGATAGTGACGAGGGTGGGCTCTCATGGAGGATGGAGACCACAGGCATTCTCTCTAACCCACAGTGCTCAGGGTGGTTTTTAAGTAAGCTATTTTTGCTGTGACTTGGGGGCAGGGGAGGCAGGGGCGTGAGCTGTCCAGACCAGAGTTGTTCCCTGGCAATCAGCCCTTCACAGGTTTCCCTTCCTCTCTGAAGGCTCCCAGCCTGTCAGAATCCAGGGGCTAAGGTCCTCACTGGTAAGCCCTTTGGGGCCAAAGAGGATCTTCCCCTGGTGAGCTCTTCAGTCTCTGGGAGAAGTGTATGGTTTTTAATCCTTCTTCACTGTCAAGGGCCAGTAAGCTGGCAAGGCCACAGAGCTGTCAGAGCTGGAGTTCACCTCCCCGAACAGAGGAAACTCAGCAAACTGCCTTTCCTGTGTTCTTGGAATTCCAAACTCCCTTCACCTCAGGCAGAGCTCACTTCACCACGTCAGCCTGCGAATGCAGAGACAAGGGCACCTGTGCCCTTCACCCATGACCCGGGGGGTGCTCTTCCTCCCTCTGTTGAAGCCCCTCTCTAGGGAAAGGAGAAAGGCTCTTTGGCTACCTCATGTCTCAACACCTGTGCTACCCCGAGGGACATAGCTGCTGACCTTGCCTAACTGTGATGGGATGGACCTAGGCTTTCAGGCTTGGGGACTTCATGTGTCTGTTCCCCCTGACACAGCCTAGAGTCAGTGCAGAAACTGAAGAATCCTTCTGCAGCTCACAGACAGACTTGTAAAGGCCTTGACAATAAGAGAAGGAGGAGGGACTTCTAGGGGAGCACTTCTAGGGGAGCTTTCCAGGCTTCCACAACCCTGATTACAAGGTTACTGTAGCAGCTGGGTACCACCCCAGAACCTACTACAAGTCACCAACATAGTGCAGAGGGTAAGAACACAGACCCTGGAGCCCTACAGTCTGGGTTCAGATTCCAGCTCAGCTACTTGGCAGCTGTGCCTTTGAGCAAATTCTTGAGCTCTGTGCCTCAGGTATCTATAAAATGAAGGCGGTAGCCAGGCACATGGTTCATGCCTGTGAACTCAGCACCCAGGAGACTGAAGCAGGAGGATCACAAGTTTGAGACTAGCCTGGGGCTGCATACCAAGCTTGAAGCTAGCCTGGACTATATCGAGTGCCTTAACTCAGCTATCAAAAAGTAAAGGTAATAATATAGTACCTACCCTATGGTTGTAGTCACTGTATATGTTCATACATATAAAGCACTTAGGGCAGTCCCTGACATAAGAGTTATATATGTAACTAGCTTATTTTTTTGTTCATTTTTAATGAATTTTTTGCATTCCAATCCCTGTCCCCCTCCCTCCTTTCCTCTCAAACCCTCCACTCCTGTCTCCTCCCATCTGCTCCAAGGAGAGGGTGAGTCCTCCCCTAGGAAGTCTACTAAGTGTGTCCCATCATCTAGTTGAGGCAGGACCAAGGCTCCTCTCCACTCCCACACCCCTGTGTCTAGGCCGGGCAAGGTATCTCTCCATATAGAATGAACTCCACTAAGTCAGTTTGTGCATTAGAGTTAGGTCTTGGACCCACTGCCAGTGACCTCATATATTGTCCCAGTAACACTACTGTCACCTAGATTAAGGGAGTCTACTTTGGTCTTATGCAGGTCCCCCTTTTAACTAGTTTATTTTTATTTAATAATTATTTTGTATTACCCAAGAGTCTATGAATATCAGGGCAGGCAAAAACCTCATTTCCTCCAGGAAGGTCTGTGGAAGATATCAAGCCTGTTGTGCAAGAGACTATCATTCTCCACACAGGTGGCTTACCAAGGGCTTTACATTAGATAGAGGGATAGCACTCTCCCCTGCAGCCAGGCACAAACCTACAGAGCCTGAGGGAATGACAAATTTTACTACTGCTGGAGAGGGAAATTTAACTACTGAACAGATTCCATTTTTAGAACCCGGAAAGCTATTCTGAGTGGAGGCATGGTCTCTGTTTTTTTTTTTAATAGCCTCCAGCATTCTAACAATCTTCGCATGCATGCCCCATTGCAGGGAAATCAGGGCACAGTGGGAAGTCTCATCAGATTTCCAGGTTGCTAGGCAACATGCTCCCCTTCCCCAGCTGGGGCTAGAAGAGAGCCAGGGTAGGCGCCATGCCTCTACCCAGCCCAGGTGCCAGAACTCATTAGCTAGCTCAGAGCCCCTCTCCAAAGTATCCAGGGGACTGAGATTTCTTCTCAGCCTTGACAATGTGGGACCCAAAAGCCATCAAAGCTGTCTTCTGTACAGCCACAGACATGCCTTCTCTTCCTTTCTTCCTTCCTTCCTTCCTTCCTTCTTTCTTTTCTTTTCTTTCTTTCTTTCTTTTTTTGATACAAGAAGGTATTTCTCAATGTATCCTTGCCTGTCCTAGAACTCTGTAGACCAGGCTGGCTTTGAACTCACAGAGCTACATTTGCCTCTGTTAGCATCCAGACACATCTTGGCCCTACTCATGGCAAGCAGTACCCTGGCTCTGTGCAGGTGCAAAAAGTCCCGTTAAAGACAAGCTCTGCCCACTCAAGTTCTCTCTTCCACTGTTCCTCTGAAGAGGGTAGGCAGGTCTTCTCTCTCTCTCTCTCTCTCTCTCTCTCTCTCTCTCTCTCTCTCTCTCTCTCTCTCTCTCTCTCTCTCTCTCTCTCTCATCTCTCTTTCTCCCCTCCCTCCCTTCTCCCATCTTCTCCCATACCCTTCCCTTCCTCCAATAAAACTTCCCACATAAGCTCAGTCTGCACGGTTTGTCCCTCTCCCAGCTTGGGGCTTCTGGGCCTTCTCACAGCATCCTCTGCCTTCCAAGTGTGGGGTTTAAAGATGTGTGCTACTGCATGTGGCTTCTGCAGGCATGCTGTCTAAGGGCATAGCACACACTGAAATTAAGCTGTCTGCAGGTAAGCAGGGACAATGCACTGATGCCTATGTTAGGTTTCTACTGGCTGCTGGCACCCTTTGTGTCAGTTCATCTCTTCTGCGTCACTTCTCCCTCTGTCTTCCGCTTACAGCCCCACTGTGTAAAGATTCGAACGTTTCTGCCCATCATAGATCTGTAACTTAGTTACATTTGCTACATGGATGCCAAGAGATGGGGAGGCCATGTCAGCCTTCTGCCCTAGCCACTGTCTTCATTGCTGCTCTCTTCCTCCTCCTCTTTTTCTTCATAAGACTTGTTTATTTTATTTTACGTATGTGTGTTTTGTGGTAAACTTTTCTTGCAGAGATGCAACACACAGGACTACTCCCCAGATAGGGAGCCTACCACAACAGACCAAAGTACAGACACCACTGAAGTCCAGCATAGTGAACCAATGAATTTTGGTGGGGTTATTTACAGTAATGTGGGAAAGGGGTTACTTACAGGAGCAGAAATGACTCAAAGACAGTTGCATCACGAAACCCATCACCAGCACACATGGCAGCTCACAAAAGCTGGAAATTTGGAGCACACAGCATAGCCTACAGGCAGCTCAACAAGTTGAAGAATGCCATTTCCAGATAGCTTAGCTGGACTATGCCTCTTCCAGGTAGTTCAGCTGGTTTCTCCTTCTTTTTAGGCTGCTTGCCTGGTCTGCCTCTTCTAGGCAGCTAAACTTGTCTGTCTTTTTGCAGCCAAATTTGCCTGAAAGTGATGCTGAGGAATCTATTGGTTGTTCTTGAGAAGGAAGGGCCTTCTGAATCTGGTGAGTTTCAGGGACTTCCTGAAGCTATTTGAGTTTATTTACCTTCTATCTTAAGGAGCCAGCCCCGTCAGATGGAAAAACAACATCTTTTCTAGAATATATGCATGTGCACCATAAGCATGCCCGCTGTATGCAGAGATCAGAAGAGAACCTCAGACCTCTTGGAACTGGAGTTATAGGTGGTTGTGAGCCACCATGTGGGTACTAGGAATCAAAACTGGGTTCTCTGTAAGAACAGTAAATGTTCTTAAATGCTGAACTATTTCTCTACCCCACCTGCACTGTTTTCTTCTAACCAAGTTGACCAGTGGATCATCACTGAGCTGCCTGGCAGTTCACCATGACTGGGCACCACACTCCAGCCCAACATGACTGACCACACAGCCCCACTGTGAATCCCCCACAACCTGTGCATTCCGAAAGGCTGGGGTGTGCTTATTCAACCACTAGGAGCTCCCTCAAGACCTCTAGTTATCTCCACAAAAAGAAGCAGGATGGGGCAGACTAGGGTCCAGGACTGTAATAACTTTTCTTAAAATTGTATCTTAGGGACCATCAAGATGGCTCATCAGGTGATAGCACTCACTGATAAGCTTGATGACCTGACTTTGATTCCCCAGGACCCACATGGTAGAAAGTAAGAACTCACTCTCACAAATTGTTCCTAGCCTCCATGCATACACAAACACATAAAATAAGAGTAATAAAATTATTAAATAAATTTAAACCAGCAAATAAATGAAGGTGTAAAATATAAATCCTTCAGAATTCTCCAGAGCTATAAAAATAAAACTCTGTATAAAGAAAACTTCCTCCAAGTCTTATTATATTGAGATAGAATCATCATCATCTTGTGTGTGTATGTGTGTGTGTGTGTTTGTGTGTGTGTATGTGAATGTATGTACCTGTGTGGGTACCTGTGTGTGTATGTGAATGTGCATGAATGTGTGTGAATGTTTATGGATGTGTGTGTACATGTGTGTGCCTGTGTGTGTCTTAATGTGTGTGCTTGTATGCTTAAGGAAGCCAGAGGTTCACATCAAGATCTCTTCATCAAGTTTTACAGACAATTTCTCTCACTGAACCTGGAGCTTAACATTGTGGCAGAACTAGCCAGCCAGTGAGCCTCAGAACCCCCCTGCCTCTACCTCCCTGCCTGGTTTTTTGTTTGTTTTAATTTATTTTTATTTTTTAACATGGGCACTGGGGATGTGAATCCAGGGCCTCAGCATTTTACCCACTGCACCATCTCTGCAGCCCCAGAATCAGATTTTAAAAATAGAAGTGGACAGATAGGGATCTGGGCAAGGAACAGAGCCGCTCACTGTTGAAGTCTCTCCATAGCCAAAAGTCAAAAAATCCAGCGCAATTAGCATTTGCTGTGAAGACTGCCTCCATAGAGACAATGTTTCTTTTATACAGAGCTGTGTTGTTGTTGTTTTCTAACAATAATGTTAAAATAGCAATAAACCATGCTTAAGACTAATGGCCTTCAGTGTGGCCTTACTTGTAATGGATACTTTCTAGGAATCTCACAGGGGACTTACTTGTTTATAGTAAAAATATCCTAACTCTCCACAGTCCTATGCTCGAGTCTTTAACCTTATCAACAGCAATCCTGACCAGTGCATGCTAGGAACCACCCTGAGGTCTCAGTTCAATTGCTTAGCAACGCTTGGAGATAAACTTCAAAACCCTGCATATGGCTATGGTGAAGACAATGAAATCAACGCTATACTTAGTGTACTTAGGTGTAATTTTCCCCCCTGAATGCCTCTGTTCCTATTAAGGTTTAAAATCCCTTTAATAACCCCCAGTTGTGCTTCATGCTGTCTGATCCTAAAATTCCTTCTGCTCTGCAGTCAAGCATCCAACCTTAGTGATAACTCTGAGGTAGTTTGGAGCTAGTTTTCTTGTCAGTATATAAGGATATTTTCTCCATCTTTTCTGGTTTATTTTATAATTTAAGACAGGTCTTGCTATGAGTCCCAGGTTGTCCTGAAGCTTGTTCTATGTCAAGTAGACTAGCAATTCCCCTGCCTCTGCCTTTGGGGTGCTGGTTTTGCAGATATACACCTCCATCTTTTTAAGGTTTCAGAAACCCCTCCACATGGAAGGATCACACATGATTGCTCTATTGATGGGGTTCAATTATCTACTGTGGTGAGATACTGTAGTCCTATCTGGCTTGTTCACATTGCTACAGGAGGCTTGAAGAGATGAGGCTTTCTTTGGTCTCCTCCGCACACCATCTCTAACCTATTCCAAAGCAACCAAGCCTTGCGTGGAGGAGGCCAGGGCTTCCCTAGCAATTCAGAACTGACAGAACTCTGCTCTCTGTGGCTGAGCTTCCTAGAGACAAGGAACCCAATTGTCTGCCAGAGGGAGGGATTGTGTGTTTGCAGAGAAGCTTCCATGGCAAGCACACAAACATTTCTCCCAAGCCAGTTCAGATATCAGAGAGCATGTATTATCTCCTGCATCAGAAAAGCCCAGGGACTTCATGGAATTTGAGTGTAGTTTGATCCAAAGATTCTCTTGGCTTATACTTCATTCTTGTATTAAAAATAGCTAAAGTAGTCAGAGTCATACATCTAGGCACACTATAGGGAAAACAGAAAAAGTCTGACCTGGGACTTCCACTGAGCTCCTGAGATGTATCATAAATGTAAGTTCATGTACCAAGGAGGGCAGAAAGTCCTGAGGGACTGGGCTTATGTCAACCCCAATCTAGAGTTAAGGAATAGATGGCTTTTCCAAAGTTAGTGGAATTTTCCAAAGAAACCTGGCTTGTGGAGACAGGGTATGTGGGGTGGAAAGGTATATGGACTCAAGGAGAACCAAGGAGAAGCCCAGGACCATGAAACTCCTTGTCCCAGGTGCTATAAGGGTAGAGAGAGCCTAAACACAACCCCATGTGCACTGCCTCCCCAAAACTATGAATATAAAAATATGATATTATGCCTTTATTCTAGAATAAATTCCTACCCATAGAGGTCATTTTGACCCAATGACCTCTATGGGTAGGAATTCACACATTACCAATTAGTAAGAGATGCTGCTATTTGTAACCTCTGGGAATGTCTGTTCTCTCCTATCTTGTAAATATTCCTCATCTTTTTCATATTTGCTGCCCTCAAAGGTCTGACCAGGCTTTTTGAAATTACAAGGGCTGGTATCTCTTCATGTACTCATCAGCCAACCGTAGATCTTCTCTGAGTCACTTGTCCCGCCCTCTGTTCTCCATCAGGTTGTTTATCTTTTCCTTTCCTTGTGGATTTGTGAAAGCTCTTTGTAGCTCATGGATTCAAGTCCTTTGTTTCATCTATCACAGACATTTCTCCCAGCTTGTCCTTCGCATTTTAATTTTATTGCTTAAGCTGGGCTAATTTCATGTGTTTAAGTATGCCAGACTTCCATGGATTTCTGCTTAGAAAGGTCTTGTCTTTCCTGCTCTAAAGTAAAAAATAATATGAGCCAGGTGGTAGTGGTGGTGGTGGTGGTGGTGGTGTATACCGTTAATCCCAGCACTAGGAAGGCAGAGGCAGGGGAATCTCTGAGTTTGAGACCAATCTGGTCTACAAAGTGAATTCCAGGTTAGCCAAGTCTCTACAGAGAAACCCTGTCTCAAAAAAAACCAACAACAACAACAACAATGAAAACAATGATAATAATAATGTACACAATGTCCCCTATTTTTATTCATATTTTTTGTGGGTTTTCATATTTAAAAACCTTCTCTATCTGAGTTACTGTAGAGGCCGAGATGACTGGCTAGTGTGTAGGACAGAAATACTTTGTGAATTGCAGAACCTCGAAGCTTCCCCACAGACATCTTCTTTCCTGGAAGCAACAAAAGGGATTAGAAGGAAAGCTGGTGTGTCTCTTTAAGTTCAGAGACATCCAGGAAAGGGAACTCAGTGGGAGCAGGATGCAGCCTTCTGATGTTTGATGGGGGATGTCCTTGAGTATGCTGTGAATATGTATTGTTTTTACTGGCTGATAAATAAAGCTGATTTGACCAATGGTCAGGCAGAATATAGCTAAGTGGGAAATCCAAACAGAGAGACAGAAGGCAGAGTTAGAGAGATGTCATGTAGCCACTGGAAAAGCAAGCTGTGAGGTAAGAAGCCACGAGCATCGTGGTAAAATATAAACTAAATGGGTTAATTTAATTGAGACAACTAGTCAGTAATATGTCTGAGCCATTGACCAAACAATTAGAATTAATATTAACCTCAGAATGATTATTTAATAAGCAGCTGCAGAGATTGGCAAGTGGGAGAAAAACGGGTCCAATGGGGCTGGGCAAGACAGAGAAAAGCTTCCAGCTACAGATGCTGGTACCCCAGAGAAAGAGACAGGCTGAGAGCTGCAGCAAGAAGTGTGGTGGAAAAAGCCACTTTGTTTCAGGAAGAATCCTGACAGGAATGTGGGGGAGTCCAACCAAAGGACCAGATCCCAGGAAGCAGTGTTTTTCCCACCTGCCAGGATGGCTTCATTAGCACGCATTGTGTTCCTTTCACAAGGATTTTTGAACAACTACTCTGAAACCAGGAAAGGACCCTCATATTCTGGCCCAGTGATAACGGAAATCAATCATGACCCTGAGACAGCAGGAGAATCTGCCCTGCTACAGAAGCAGGAGATCATCACTTTAAAAACATTACTCTAAGATGTCAAAGTTAACATCTTAGTCAGATCTGAAAAAAGTAGTTCTGGACTCTAGAGAATTGGGTGTAACTTTTAAGGACAATAACCGGATGACATAGTAGGGGCTGGATGTGGAGGGTTCCCAAAGCAGCTGGCCCTAGCTGCTTCAACATGGCAGTAGAGGGCATTTACCTGTTCCTACATGTTCTAGAACCACCAGAAGGCATATGCATGACCCTTGGTGTGGTAGGCACTCCACAAGAGCTGCATGAATGCATGTATCGTGGGTCTGGGAAACAGGACTGCTCTTTTCCTGTCTAGCTGGGGACCATGTAGACAGCCCCTCC